AGAGAGAGAGAGCAAGGGGGGCTTGGTTATAATTTTGGTATCAAATTGATTCTGCAGCTATCTCAGAGATATAAGGAAAGACGTTATTATGATATGCATCAGCATTGCACGGGGCTTCACTTCGTGCATACGAATCACGCGTAATGTTTGAAATAGCCATCGTAACAAACTGCATAATAATAAATAATTTATTTTAATAACGAACGCTACAACACAAATCACAGACACGATCACCAGCATCGATTCACGTCGTCACATTTCAAAATAAACCGCCGGCAGTACATCATCCGGCAGCTCGGCAATTGCATGCGAAAATTTATCGACACAATCATTTAAATCTAGCTGTATACCTATATCACGTCGTCGCGTTGCGGAGCTTGCTGTTCTTTGCTCCTGCGTCGTAGACGCTTTTCTATCCAGCGATGCCTCCGCTGTCTCCACGTCATTCCGTACTCCGATTCGGGCGTGTCGTACGCGTAAACCCTCCGGCAGCCTTCCCTCGTCGTCGCATCCCGCTCATTCTCGTCGCGAAACAACACGTGCCGAGACCGGAGCCTGCGACCGACTACGTTTAACGGCGTCGTCCGGAAGCGATTGTCAACGTCACCGTTTGCGTCGCGCCTACGTCTGTCGACCTCGCGCTCGTCATCGTAGCCGGACACGAACGCAGGGGAGTGCGGGTCGGCGGTGACGCTAACCCGCCTTCGCGTTCTATCACAAAGATTCGCGTCGTCGGTGAGAGGATGGGTGCGGTTCGCCAGCGGCAGGCGCGGGCAAGTCTGTGTCACACCACCGGAAGGTCTGTCTACGTCGGAAGAAGAGGACTGGCTCCTGTCTCGGACCGACGTGTATCTATGACGTTCACGTTCCCGGCACGGTTCATGACAGGCACTGCTGCCGCAACCACCTCCCTGCGAATCCCTCGTGCTCGGGACGCCGTCGCCGATCCCCGCACGTCGCGACTCGCTCGTCTGACGATGGCGCCGGCTGCTAGGTGGCGTGACGAGCGCGTCGCAGACGGGAGGCGGCTGCGACGACGCGCACGCTACGCTGCTTCTCCTTTTCGCTCGGTGCACGCACGCCGCCTCGGGATGAACGACCGCGTTGTCGGAGACCGCGTCGTCGGCAACGCCAGACGTTTCCCGCGCCGTCGGCTCGGCCGCCGTCTCGCGAGCGACCTTCAACGATCCTTCGACCGACACGTTGCCCGTCCCTCCGTCCGGTAGGCCACCGACGAATTCGAGGTGTGCTTTCCTGCGACGACGGGCCTTGGCACCGACAGGCGCCCTGTTACTGACCTCGGAGGTAGAAGCTTCTCTCCGCTGAACTTTGCGTGCCGACCGGCAAGAGCGTGCTCTGCTGTCAAAGTTTGGCGACACCTGGTGTTAAAAATAGGAGACACTTTAACTTTGCCAACGGATTTGAGATGTTGTAGGTTTATAGCATATTCTAAGCAGAAAGATATTCCGATTTTTTAGTGCCACGGAATCAATTAGCAGTTAAATGTTAAATAAGCATGCGCTCCTGCACAAAGTTTAATCCAAATCTTTTGTCAGTAAATAATGACACAATTTAGTGTGAGTAATAAATATACAATTTTTGTCACGCATTTTGTAGAAGTATTACCCAAGAGAAGCCACTTTGCACATCTGGCGGCACGACTCGCGCCGTGATGGGATGCTCAGCTCCCATTACGGAACGCGTCATGTACGGAAACCCCAGTACGGGACTCTCGGTGAATACCAGTTCTGGTTTCCGAGAGCTTCGTCTCCTTTTTCGTGGCATAGTTCAGTGCACAGACGTCACACCAATTCATGTATAATTATTTGCGACCAAAGAAGGTACTAGGTAGTCCCAGAGCCTGATCCAATGCCAGCGTTTGTTTACTGGCAGTCACTGCAGTGAGAGTGAGTGTTCTGTGTTGCTGTGTTACTGTTAGTGTTCGGTGAGATAGCACTACAGACTACAGTACGATCCACCGAACAAACCTATGGACACAGCCACGGGTTGCACGCCGGGGCTCTAACACCAACATATAATCATTGTTACGTTGAATTTTTATAAACCGTACATAACTATGAGAAATATTAATAAATGTTGATCTTCAAGTTTTTAAATTGCCGACGTGCATCAACAAAAGAACAGCAACAACAATATTTCGCGAATTATGATTGGTCCTTAACCTCACCAGGCACATGTAGCCGATATGTGCTTTTATGAAAAAAATAGTCATTTTCTTACAAACCTAATAAAAAATGAACATTATACAACTATTTAGTTTATGGTAATTTTTTATCTAATCAAATAACTTATTTTCTTACAGTAAATATTGATTGTAAGTATTTGCTAAATCAAGCTTTAGCGATGATATCATCGGAATTTACTATTATATAAATGTAAGGGGTTTCATGTGTTGGCATTTGAGTTCATTTGGAGCTGAGATTCCTGCTTTAGAAGATAATAAACATACAACTAACAAAATTTTTTCGGTAATTATAAGCGCCAAGTGTCGTAATTAAATGGAAAGAAAATACAGCATCCTGATAGAGCTCAAACTTGTAGCTACCCCCTCCCCTGTGATCGAAAAATAATTACTTAGGTCGGCTGTAGTGAGGGCGTCAAGAGCGTCAAAATGGCAGCGACCATCAGAGTATACAAAAAATCTTCCATCCACAAACTTCTAATCAGTATTGCCCAAGAAAGGGAGAGGTTTAAGCTGCATGAATCAGATGATGGTATGATACAATGACACTTATGATCACTTGACTAAATTACGCCAATCTACTTTTACTCGGTATTTTTTTGATAAGTTGTGACCCATCGACTATCGCCTCGTAATAATTACTGAATAGGCCTACTGTGTACTGTATTGTTTTAATCAATAAAATCGTGTTATTATCCGCGGGCCGCAGAACACACCGTTTTTATTAATGAATTCACGAATAGTATCATTCGTACTTCTAGGATTTTCCGTTATGTAGATGTAGTGGCTAGGCTATATATCTTCCCTTGGGCAAAATTGAGGGGTAAAGAGTAGGGACTGCCTTTAGGCTTTAGCTTAGGCTTTAGCAAAAATGCAATTTTTAAACATCACACGACATAACTGTACTCAACCAGTGATAGCCACAATTAGTTGATAATCGTGAATATATATGTGCAGTGTTGTCCCCAGGCTTTAAAAGCTCTGACAGGTCCAACACACCTTCACAGTTCAAGCTAATTTGCGACATCTCACAAATTCCCTAACAATAACATGTCGCAATCGCGTAACGGACATGACTCAATATTCTGCTGTGTTTACTTTTGGCAGTACTAACAGGATCATGCTGAATTTTCACAGCTTTATGTATATGTCTCAGAACTTATTTAGTTTCACTGTGTATCAGGCCGATTATGACACACATAATTCACTCCAATTAGTACAAACCCCTTCTGGGCCCTAACTTATCTATTTATAAATGACATGCTTTATGAAAGTCCTGGGGAAAACTCTGTATATATTAGGGGTGCACCGGAACTATCCGGCCGGATCCCCAATTTTTCAAGGTTCCGGTTCCGGCCGGAACTCTTCAGGAACAGTCGGCCGGAACCGGAACTTTTTCCTAATTTCATTTCTGCTACAAGCATCATCAAGATCAAAAGATCAGTCACTGAATGTAGTTGAGCATCAATAGAGTCAACTTCCTGACAATATAGTGTTAACAACTTCACACTATATTCTCAATTACTCATTAGTTAAGTGAAAGGTGCAGTGTTTTCTCTGCTGTAAAATCATAGGATAGAAGATGTGAAGGAATAGGAGAGAAGAGCCTTGCAGAGGCTGACTTCTCTATCAAGTCCATTATATTCAGTAACACGCTCGATAGAAAATTCACCATCCGACTAATTAGCTGGACATGATATGTGTTTGTGTGTAACTACAGAACGAATCATTTTTGACTCGTGTTTTTCGTCAAATTACATCTTTGTAGATTTTCTCATGGTGAACCACAACACGTTTTGGACACAGCTGTTCTATCACCACTTTGTGGACAGCCATGTACCGGATGAGGATCTTCGAGACGACATGCTCTTCTTTGTCAAAAAAACAATAACGTCACTAAGGGATCCGACGCAGGTCAGCTACGCCCTCGTAAATTTTACATCGATAAATCGTCGCATTTTTAACAATGCCAAAAAATTTCTACACGGTGACTACACTGTCTTTCAGCTTAGCTTTATTACGGTGTGTGTGTGTGTATGTGCGCATGCGCGTGTGTGTGCGTGCATGCGTGTGTGCATGCGTGCATGTGCGTTTGTGTGCAGGCTTCTTTGTCAACTGGTGACTAATTCGTGTCGAAATAATTTATTTGTGTACAGACAGAAATTGCAGTATTTAGGAAGCACAGTAAACAGTTGCCTGCTCTCGGGGAGGCCGACATAGACTGGGAAGAAACAGTTTATCTAAACTTAATTTTGCAGCAGGTAAGTTGATTGTTCTTTAACTTTAGCTCCATACTATGCAACGTTATCCCTACATTAGTATATTAGTTTCTAATGTTACTTTACTGACTGAATAGCTGTATACTCTCTTCTGGCGTCGTAACTAACCACGTTTAATGACGGATATTGTCGAGATATCCTCTGTGAGTGGGATGGCCGTCGTTGATGACCTTGAGCAACGATTGCTGTTGGCAGTTTGAGTATACGCTGACCTGTGCAGTCTGCACCCGAACAAGTGCCAAAGACCTGCAGATTCTCAAGCGCTTCTCCCAGGTTAGTTGTAGGGGTGCAACGAATCACAACTTCACGGTTCGGTTCGGTTTTCGGTTTTCACATTTCGGTTCGGTTATTTTCGGTTCGAATATTTGCGATCAATTACAAATCTTATAACACCAAACAGAAGTGCAAATTTAATAATCAGACTGGTTTATAAATATGAAATAATAATGTTTCCATACCATAGATCTGTAGGAGGCCGGCGGCTCAACATAAGTTGTCATTTTTGCAGACAAAATGAACGCGTTGACCTTCTCGTGGCATGTAGCAAGTGGTCTATCAATGTTATCTGCTCGCTGATTGGCCGAGAGTTTACGACCAGCCAATTGCAGTGCGCGTATCTCAAAAGCGTATATATCGGGTATATATAAAATGTGGAACCGAAACCGAGCCGAAAACGGAACGACGGTTCGAATATCCGAATGGTCGCGCAAAAACCGCGGTTAGTTGTAGCCGCGCGCTAGTTCAGTAACAGCTTCATTGAAGGATCCTCATGCCTGTCAGCCTGTCGAGACATTTTCAGGCTTTGCGGTTGGCTGTTATTTATCGAGGCTGATTTGAAGTGGTGTCTTTAAATGCAGTGTGTAAAATTACCCAGTGAAGTTTATGGAGATTTGTTGAATTTCGAAGCAATAGGTTGGCAAGTGATTCATCTAACAAACTTCTTCTCTGTAGGTGATAATGAATATTGAACACTTGCCTAGCAGAAGACGACTGTATAAGCATGTGGTTAAAGATTACATTATGTGTATCGTGTCCATTTCCAGCGTGTGTATGCATCTCCCAGTAAACGGCAGATGGACGGAAAGGGGGAGGAGGAACAAATCTCATATCCAAACATATTCTTCACCGTTGACAACTTTGACGAGGTATGTGGAAACCTATGATATCCTCGCAGCTTTCACCGAAAAATCTCTCAGAGCAATTCCTAGAGACTACACAATCTATCGACCATTTCTGGTGCACTGGCAGTCTCTATCACGCTCTTCTGTTTCATACCGATGCCTACTACAGTACACAATCTATTATCCGAAATTCTGAAAACCGAAAAGCTCCGAAAACCGAACGTTTTTTTCGTGGAGGTAGTCTGCACACTAAAGCTCACGTTTGTCTGCACAAGTTTCACTGCATAAATATTAATATGTTTGGCATTACTCATACATATTGTACTGTACCGCAATAGCACTTAGCTTCTTGAAAACTTGGGTTTTCAAAGCTTTTCAGTTTTCAGAATTTTGGATAATAGATTGTGTACTGTACTAGGCATCTGCGTCAAGCATGGGTATGTTCAATGCGGCGGTATTCTCTCTGGACAGATTTTCACGGACATCATCGTTCGAGACGGAGAGATGGTTTGCGTGGAGCTGGTGGCAGCTGACAAATGCGGTGCCTTCCAAGGAGTCATCTTTCTAGGGTCGATACGATACGATGCTCTGAAGAAAGTCTACGATGCAAGAGTAGGTATCGTCCTCGTACGTTCGTACAGCCAGCTGTGGATATACTATATACGCTGTATATTTCGTGGTGGTTTAATTTTTGCGAATTTCGCGAACGCGTCCCCGACCACGAAAATAACAACACGCGAATAACTCATACCGAATAATAGCGAATAATTCATAATTCACAGATCACGAAATTAACCACTCGCGAAATTGTCGGTCGAGTTTGAATTCGCGAAAATATCTGTACGCGAAAAACATGGCATATACAGTATATGCCATTGTTAAAGTTGTTGCAGTTAATACGGAATTTGGGGTTGAATTGACATTTCTTTGTCTAAAGTGAGTTGCTAGCATGTTTAAGGTCCATATAGTGCTTACATCTTTTGACAAATGTGGAGAATTAAGCTGTAAACGTTTTGTGGAAATATTCAAGTGTGTATATACATATTGCAGCTTGTGTGTGAACATGAGGTGCCTGTGTGTGTGTTCAAATATGATAAGAGAGAATATTACTTCTGACTGTGTAGTAGATACATGTATAATTATGCCATTGCAGACCAGCGTTTCTAGTAGAATGGCCAAGCGACTCTCTCTGGGTTGGTACAGGGGGCAGCAGAAGCGTGTTGAGTTTGTGCGCATGAAAGGCCCACAGGGCAAAGGTGAGTGAAATGATATCTTTTGTGTATAATATATCCCACAAATACAGCTTCTGCCATGTGAGCAGGGGACAGAGAGGAAGTAAATCAGCGCATCTACGTGCAGTTGGCGACAAAAACAAGTTTATTCTTACAGCGTCGCTTACCGTGTACTATCTACGCTGAAATGCAGGTCATGCGGAGATGGCAGTTAGCAAGGAGAAGTCATCGGTGACCGTCTCGGCTCCTACAACGCCCGACGAAGAATACTGGGCTGAAGAATTCAATCTTGAGAACGAAGAGGTGAGACTTGCGTGCGTGCGTGCGTGCGTAGGGAAGTGCATGTATGCGTTTGCGCCTGTGTGCATGCATGCATACATGCATTTCTCCATGTGTGTGTGTGTGCGAGCGTGCGTGTTAGTCTTAATGGCTCACCCACGTTTTTAGATGGTTTCTAAACACGCTAGCTCGTAGATGTTCTGTTTCTTTTTGATGCCACGCTTTTTTCCGAGCATGCCTCTCCCCAACTACTTCCTGCTATGTAACTATGTAAAAATATTTACCTTCTGTGCTTGCTTTTTTACGAAATCGATATCTGCACAAAGCTTTTTCTATGCACGCAATTTTGTTTGGTTGACTTAGAGACCGCAGAAGGTGCCTTCGTACCGTGGCCCCGCACACCAGAGGTCGAGGGACAGGCAGCACGCGGCGAAAAAACAAACGTCGAGTGCTGCCCACATGCAAGCGGCCGCAGTCCCTCTGTGCTCGGCTCGTGGCGGCGGCCGTGAGAGGCACGCGGCGGCGGCGGGTGCAGCAGCGGCGGCGGAGCCTGGTTGCCGTCAGCGACGCGTTGCCGGTGGCGCCACCGACGGTCGTAGCTCTCGGCGGTCCGAGGCGGCGTCGTGCGACGACCCCATCCAACAGAGGCTCTGTCCGCCACCGCACGAGGTTCATCTACGCTTCTTTTTTTTTACCTATGATTTTCGTCGATTTTTTGTTCAATGTGATCGCATGCTAGTAGACGTAGTCGCGTCTGGAAGGAGAAGAAGATACCGATGTGAAGACAGTCGTAGATGCTGTGCCTGTTGTTGTACAACGAGTTTACCTGAGGAGATGTGTAGGTAAAACAAAGTCTTCTACCTGAGAACAGGTGTAAATAGCAGCTGTACAGGTGGAAATAGGAAAATCTTTTTAATCTGAGAAGCCGTGAAAGTAAAACTGCGACACGACCCTTTACCCGTCGAGCCATTTTTACCCCCATTTTTTACCCCTCAAGCTGAACAGGTACCAATTTAATGACGATTTTATTTTTCACCCATTAAGCTGTGCAGGTAACACTTTAATGACATGTTTTTCACCTGAAAAGCTGCGAAGATAAAACAGCGACAGTACCCTTTACTCGTCAAGCCGTTGGGTAGCACCATAATAACGCGTTTTTACCCCTCGAGCCGTACATGTAGCACCATAACGACGCGTTTTTACCCCTCGAGCCGTACATGTAGCACCATAACGACGCGTTTTTACCCCTCGAGCCGTACAGGTAGCACCATAACGACGCGTTTTTACCCCTCGAGTTGTACAGGTAGCACCATAACGACGCGTTTTCCACCCGAAAAGCAGCGCGGGCGTTAAAAACGGACGTTTATTTTTTCCCTCCCCCCCTCCCTCCGCCGAGCACAGTCGGACTACGACAAGCGGCGGATGTCGGACCCGTCCGCGAACCTCAAGGCCTACGTGCAGGGCTTCCGTCGCCACGGCAGCCTGAAGAAGGTGCTCTCAGCCTCGCAGGACAATCTCGATTTTGACCTGAATGCAGACGGGTGGCACGAGGTCGAGGCAGGAGATCTGCTGGATGGTGAGTCACTCGGAGCGGCGGCGGTCGCCATGGCGACCGGGGGGGGGGACATCGGCGTCGAGCCGTGCGGTGGTTCGGTGACCGCGACCTTGGGTTGACGCGCTGTGTGTGATCGTTATTCTCGAATCGAGGAGAAGGAAGTGTGATTGGATGGTTGGTTGAGTAGAGTCGAGTGTGCGTCCCTGATTTAGGAATCGAGGGGAAGGGGAAGTGTGAATAGTGTGAGACCGTTAAACCGTGTGTGACTGTAGAAGTGACATGGTAAGTGAGGTGAGCGGGTTCTCGTAGCAACGATTCGAGGGGGTCAGACTCTTTTTGGTTTTGACCTTTCGCATTGGTGTTTTCTCCGGGCAGAGTTCAAGGCGGATAGCATCTATAACCGAGTGTGGGAGAAAGGTCTGAGTCAGGCATGGTATTGGCTTAAGGAGCGGCGAAGAGCGAGCTGCGTTGCTCTCAATGCATTCACTACCTATGTCACTCTCCCCTGGCAGGCTATCATAGCAGGTAGGTAGAGTACGTGGCTCATAGTATGTCACCACATCCGAGAAAGTGATGAGTGGAAAGAAGAAAAAAACATAGTGAACAATTATAAAATCACAAATAGACAATCGACAAAAATCGCAATCGACAAAAAAGAACAATTTTGAGGCAATACGCTCTGAATAAACATATTTCAAAGTAATTTTTTGTGGCTTGCATACATGTAAAGGGAAGTATAAATGCATAGTATCTTTAACCAGGTTTTATTCTTGACCATAGGTCCTACTCCACCTTGCTCCTACTAGTTTAAGGAGCGTGGTACCTTTAGGGAGCGGGAATCACGCATGTGAGGTTTATCGTCAGTACTGTCTCTTTGTCTTGCAGATGTTTTAGAGACAAGACAGCAGCCAGTTCTGACGTTCTAGTCGTGGTATGTATGAACTGTTCTAGGCAATTACCGTGGAGTACTTCTGTTTGTAAGAGTGATGCAGAGCGGCTGCATCATGGAATGTATGGTGCCTGGATAATCACTGAAAGAGAGAGAGAGCGATGAAATACAGTTGGTTTGCATAGATTCGCGTAGTGTTTTATACTCATTCAACATTGACCCCATCGGGATATCCTCCTTTATTTTTTCAGTTCGTTTTTTCTTCGATGGTTTGCCGTAAAATAACTCACGAGGCAGTAAACTTCTAGTATCAGCCGATCCAGCTTGCCACTTGTGCAGCACTCCACAGTTTAGAGCCGTCCAACGGTATATCACAATAGGTTTATATAGTCATGTTATCGTTGACTAGTTGCACTCGTACTCCTAGTGGCCCTCTTTTCTAAATGATGCTGAGTATACGGTTTTCTGAAGAGAGGTGCAAGAATTCCACAGTGGCTCTCCGCATGTACATAATTCGTGATAAATCGTGGTGCGCATTCCGGCGGATTAAATATGTTTGCTTCGTAGCATCGGGTTAGCTCTGGATCCCGAGTGGATTTCGCAGACGATATTCGGAAGGCTCCTCGTTGTGTTATATTACATTAGAAGTACCATTCCACGTGCGACGGCAACAGATGTCGGCTGGTGCCGTTAACCATGTGTCAGTGTGCTCTGTAGTTAGTGAATTATCTAGTCATGTGTGAGCTACTGAAGCGAGCAATCACTGATGGTGCGTTTATATGAGATATCGGATACGATGGAAGATGCGCTTGCAGACAAGCCTTGTGACACCTCCGTCCCAGCTTGTGCTAGTAGCGACACCTAGTGGGAAACAGTACAAACTTTTGTATTGGTGGGAAGTTTCCTGGTTGGGAGAGAGTAGTTATGACCTCTGTTATTGTGATTTGATGTTCCGGGTTCGTGTGATGTCTGAAATCTTAGAAATAGTATAGATAGACAAAATGGAACTATTTTTGAGCAGGTTTACGATAAAACTAATTGGAATTTGGTGCAAATTTCTGTTGACCTGAACAGAGAAAACAGAGGATATAGGATATAGGATATATGAATCAATTCTCACAAAAAATGTACTTACAGGTGATGTGATCTCTACTCAGAAATAGTCTGATGTAATTATGAATATGATTCGTTTTACGATTAATATATTTATTATGAATAGTTCTTCTTTTATGAGATGTAAGCGGTGTATTTTATTTTATTTTATTTACAATCACTGTTGTGTGAGGAAATGTTTACCGGTTTGGTTATTTATGAGTTCTTTGCTACCTCTAAGTCTTCGATTCGCAACTTTTGTAAATTATAAAACACAACGACTACTTAATGAAATGAAATTTGATCAGTGCAGCACCAGGGGCGTAGCTACGAGGGGCACGCGCCCCCTCACAAATTTTCTGTGCCCCCCCCCAGGTGCCCCCCCCACTGAAAATTCATGCTTTATAAAAAAAAAATTGAATTAAAAACAATGCCGCTAGAATAGTATAATACAAAGAAAAGATATATTGTGCCCCCCCACGAAAATGTAAGGCCCCCCCCAGTGCCCCCCGCTGAAAAAATCCTAGCTACGCCACTGTGCAGCACTATCAATAACACCGCTTATAAAATCACGTTAGTTCGAACCAAAGAGGTAACAGAAAGCATGGAAATATCGATGTTTCTAATGAGGCTGAGTTTAGGGTCACGGCCCTGTTATTTTTGTACATATCGTGTAACAGTGTTGCGTGAGCCATACTTGCCATTGTAGTCTATATGATGAGTTGCTACTGGTCAGTTTTGCTGAAGGGGTCGTTGTCGTATCAGGTACTACAGATATGTACCCGAGGTACATATATGTATACACAAAGTGTACCAGACTTGTACTACAGAAGTGTACCCTAACCCTAACCCTAGCCCTAACCCTAACCCTAACCCTAGCCCTAACCCTACCCCTAACCCTAAACATACCTTATATAAAAATATAAACATAATACTAAACAACCTAAAACTACCTCCTAATTATATAAAAATATAAACATAATACTAAACAACCTAAAACTACCTCGGGTACATATCTGTAGTACCTGATACGACAACGACCCCATCTGCGTCAGTTCTATGAAACGGACGGCCATATTAGATTTTGAGTCCGTGCCCAGTGATCTGGTATCACTGACATTGTAGTACCGATACTTGTGGGTTCAATTGTCACCTTTTATTTATCAGCTGCAAACGTGGATAGTATCAACCAGGCATAGAGCATTGATTATGAAGACGCGTTGCGGATCGTACGGCTCATAGGGTCTATGTCCCCCAGGGAACTATCGGAGGGTACCCTGGGTACGGTTCGATATATCGGAAAGTACCTCGGGGTACTATACGATATGTCGCTGCGTACCCTGCATTGTTCCACCGTACCCTGACTTTATATGGACGTACGTATTTCCGATGTTGTAAAACTAAAATATAAAAGCTAGCTCTTCGTTTAAAAAAAAGAAAATATAGTCAAACATAGCATACATTTTTATTGGATTGAGATGTTTTGAGGTTTCTTCTATGTGATGTGGTAACTTGACAGAGTGTATGTATTACGACATCAGTTGGCTGAAAGTCAGGGTACGGTGGGACAATGCAGGGTACGCAGCGACATATCGTATAGTACCCCGAGGTACTTTCCAATATATCTAACCGTACCCAGGGTACCCTCGGATAGTACCCTGGGGGACATAGACACTATGAGCGATCGTACGATGTGTGCCATTACAAACGTCTGCTTGTATGATTACCCGAGTAGTGACGCGTAGTTGGATTAGTTTACATGTGCAAAGTCATGATGTCATGACATAGTGATCATCTGTGTTGCAACCATAGCAATGAAAGGTAATCATGTCTTAAGTCCGTGTTCCGTGCATGTGTTTCGTTTCTACATAGATTGCACTTCAGATCGACAACTTCAGTTGTTGACCTAACTGTGAAAATTCTTGGTAATAGTTCGACGTCTGTTTTAGTTGGAGAAAGTTTATCTTGAAGCTTAGGCTGTCAAGTCTGGAAATTAGAAAAGGCTTCTCATAGTCTTTACATTCAATATCTGATCAAATCCACGTTGCGTTAGCCAGAGGATGTACAGTTTGTACAAGAAAATGCACTCGAACAATGAACCAATCTCAGATTTGTTTAATGATAGCATGGATGGTATTAATGCAGACAGATTTCCAATGCAATTTCCAGGTCTGTGAAATCAGTGTTATAGTGTTGAATTATTAGGATTTTGTATGGATATATGCTTATTAGATGGAATGTAATAGATACCATTATATCAAGAGCTAATAAACACCTTTTAGTATTTATTTACCTAATAAACACCTTTTAGTAGTAATTTACACCTTAGGTATTTATTAGCTCTTGACTATATCATGAACATTATCATATCTATACATATGGTCATGATTATGTCAACAATCATGTGCAGAAGTAACAACAGCATCAACGTCAGCAGTAATGCCAACAGTTGCTTGTGTTTGTTATCTGTAAATATTGTCTTCCAATAAAAAGGTTGATAAACACTGAACGACTTAACACCGCTCGATTATATTTTAAACAGGAAGACGTGATCAGAGTCTGCGGTTTATAGTGTGAAGTGGTGGGCCAGCGTTTTACCTAGCCGGTAATCAGGGTCTTTATCTTGATTTTGATTATAATACCGCGTGGTATGGCCGGAGTACAAAGCAGATTGACGTTTAGGTTGGACTTTGTGCTTGCGATGGTGAGTCTGTAAGTGACTGTCGCTAAGCTGACGTGGTCACGTTATATTGGGTAACGCACTGCTAGTGGAAGTCTAAAGTGGTCACAGTATATTGGGTAAATAATGGATATTAGTAGTCTTTAGAGGTCAGGATATGTTGGGCTAGTCATGGGCTTTGGCAGTCTGTAATGGTCACAGTAAATTTGTTAAGACATTGCTGTTGGTCGTCTCAAGTCGTCAGGGCATATTGGGCAAGGCACAGGTGTTGGTAACATGTAATGATCATGGGATATTGTTGTTGGTAGTCTAAATTGGTTCGGTGTGTGACGGGCAAAGTGTCAAAAGGTGACAGTTATTCACGGAATAGCTGTCAAGAAAGTTCAGCTACTATGCCGTAGCAAAAGGCAGAACCTATAGCCTAAACACAAGGGTTGGTAAAACCTGGACCCTGTCTCTAGAAAGATTACCAGTAAAACACTAACAAAGTTATTAAGAACGTTGCAATAAAAACGCGAGCGTTGAGATTACATCATATTCACACATTCTTTATTTTTTATATTGATTTATTAATATACGATATAACAAAGCTGGATCCTGGACATCAGCTCTGCACCATGACCAGCTACTACGGTGCATGATCCGAAATAGCATGGCAACATGGAGTTTCCCTGCTTTACCACTAAATATCTGCAGTGCAGCATTATGTTGTTATCTTACACGGGACAACAACAAAATGGTGGCTCTTGGACACAATCGAACGCCTTGCACGCATACGAGTGTCACGTCCATATTTTCTAACCTTGCAATGCACGAAGTTTCACATGACATTCAGACATGCCTCAGAGATGTGTACGGCACGATACAAGTATCAGCAACGTGTTAGTTCGTGCCTATATTTAGAAAAAAATGGTGGATATAGACAATGTTAGAATTCGATAGCTTTAACTTTCATCAACAGGGTGATCAATAGTCATTGTTTGCTGTTAACTACAAAACATTAATATCATAGCAAACCGACAAGGAAACAAGAGGCGTTAAAGAGTGTTACTGCTAAACACCCTACAGTTTACAAGGTATCTACAGTGTTTTACAAAGTACGTCGTACGTATAAATGTGCTTTTATACACAACATATCTGCAAAAATCATCTTGCATGTGAGTCACACACGTTCAAAATTAACGTATTATTCATGACCTTCAGCCTCATCGTACTATAGAAATTGTCACAAACTACGCATCCAGATTAGCCCAATATTTAAATATTCTAAGGATGATTTGAACATAGTAGAGTGCTATTAGCAACTGCTTGGCGATTGTAGAGCACCACAACTTCCTGCTACAGCCTGGGTACCATCCACCGGTACACAGAGACTGAGAGACGTCCTGAACCCAACTAAGATTTTCCGAAATTACGAAAAGAGAGACTGCCAATGTGCCAGCAACGTTGTGGCCCCATCGTTCACCATACGCGGACGCGTGCCCACAGTATGGCAGTGCAGCATGCCTTCCCACAATGCAGCAGCCGCTGCACTGAGCATCACAGTTCGAGCGGGCGGCAGAACGAGCGCCCCGCCCGCGCGGGAACCGTCGGCAAACACGAACGCTCCCGCGACCGTGTTAGCGCGTTGCATTGTGGGAATGCCGCACGCGAGTCTATTTACACAAGGCAGGAGGGATGGCACGCTCGCGCTCGCGCGAGCGATGAATCATTTGAGACAACGGTCAAAGTAGATGGCCCCGATGTAGCCTCCCCGCATCGATTTCTGTACGTTCTGTTCGAAGAGTCTTCGATTGCTCTGAAGCACCTCGGCAGCTTCCTTGTTAAGCGGGTCTTCAGGGTTCGGCTCCTGAAAACGAGGAACGGCAGTTAATCGTGGAGAATCCTAACTATAGCCAGGGTTACCGCTATCGTTCGCAAAATGCAATAAATAAATAACATTGGCGATTTTACTTCACTAAGTGGCGAATACACTTGGCGATTGATCTAATTGCTCACAAAATTACAATTGACTAATGAAAGCATCAAATTGCAGTCCTGGTCCATGCTGAAATCATAACTCTGAGTTATGGACTTACCAGGAAGAGGTACTGTAAGCCATACACAATGGAGTTAACTGTCAAAACTGGCTTCCAGTCTTCCCTGAAACAATAAATACAACACAAATGAGAACATGGGCGATACCTGGTGAGATACCCAAGTTCTTGACTTATCAAACTCTGAATTTGGATATATAAAAGGGCAAGTTGCGGCAGTATAAAGTTCCTTTCCGCAATTGCACACCATGCAGAAATCACGAGTAGGATGAATGTGTTTTTGGTTCATTAGTTAGTTAATGATAAAAGGGACTTACCTTAATATATTTAGACAGACGTTTCCCTCCAGGTCAATGTTGGGATGGTAAACTAGTGTCTCACACTTGACTTTAGGAGGTTCATGTGGGTAGCCCTGACCTACTTTGAAGCTGAATGAAAACCTACCGCCTCGATAGAAACCCTGCAAACATAAGAATTTTCATGAAATTTACATACATAAACTCGGGAAATGCACAGCGCACGAAAACTTCACGTTTATGCGGTTAGCCATGTATTGGCTCATTCAATTGATTATAGGAAACTGCCCGGACTGTAAAACAGTGCGCAAAATGTAAAGATAATTGTAGTACATTACCTCATCTGGTGAGATGATGAGTTTAAAGGTTAGCAGGTCGTCCTGATCTGGGAAATCGACCTGACACGTTTTTGGCAAATTCAGCTCATTAATATCTGAAATGAAACATAGAAAGATTATATATGTATATATATTATAGTGTGCAAAACATACATGATGCCACATTAGTCAGGTACACTCTTTAGCCACACTTTTTTTCTTATTTATTCCAAAAGTGATGCAAAATGTGTGTATGGATATCATTAAGCTGTGCTAACAACTCAGTTTAGCTGCCATTGGCTTAATGGAAAAGGGTCATGCATTATTTGGGTGGAAGTCCATTAAAGTATTAATATTATTGAGATGTACTCTCACCCGGGCCTCATCTATAGTATAAGTAATCTATTCACGGATTCGGTTACCAATACAGGGGTAGAAAATGGGTTGAAAGCCTGATGTGCCAAGTTGCACATGTGCAAGCCAAATCCATATGCCAAGTTCACATGTTATATATTTATTAAAATATCAAAAGGAGGCATATACTATTAGTTACAACAGCTCAGCCAGAGAATATGTCGTTGTGAGTGATGTCAACCTCAGTGATGACAAGGAAATGAAAGGTCGTTTACTATTCTACTACTACTAGTACTAGTACTAGCCATTGTTCTGGCATAGACAGTACATCGTACCAAAAATCCTTATTTATTACTAACACCTTGTACATTAAAGAAGTACGCATACATTATAGTAGCAGAACAGGTTCTCCTAATTATATTAGGGCAATAATCAGTGTGGGTATCCTATCCTTAGGCTTAACAACGATCATGTGATCATTTGATGTACATTACGGTTACCAACCTTTCTGGATTCTAAGCTGAGCAGCTGATTGTCGCGTTCCCGGATGCTGGACGGTCTCACCGTCTCTCTTCTGTTGTTTTAATGAAAATAACTTAATCATGACGAAGCCTGTTTTAAGTGTGATTATATCACAAATCTAAATATAAATAACAACCAGAAGAGAACGAGTAATCAGGATTAAGTAATAACAGTCCCTACTTCGACGCACAGGACGTGTCACAATAAATTAACAGCTCTAAATTATTTCAGTACGCATCGAGTGGCATCATAACACATGTGCATATACTGGTTTATATTGTACATATTATATTTAAAATAACCAACAATTAAAATCTTGAAAGTATATTGCTGCTATAACAATACCCGTACTTAGTCTACGTTCATATTTCTCATGTCGACACATATGTGCACTGTATCGCACAGGATTTCCTGCTCATATAAATTTATTGCTACACATACAGGCACAGAGGGCGCGCGCCCTAATTTATCTGTATGAGTAACTCCTTTTATAAATAACATTAAAAACTTGTTTTGACGTTACGTTTAAATAGTTGAATCTGACGTAGTAAGACTTAGCTTAAGTTAAGCTTAGTGTCACTAGGGTGTCACTAATGTCACTAGGTAGATGTTACTGTGCTCAAATTTGTTGTGAGAGTGGATCGAACTGGCACTGACACTGAGTCTGACAGTGTCACGTGTCAGTGGCGCTCATACTCATACGCATACTCATAGTCACACTCATAGTCATAGGGTCTATGTCCCCCAGGCCAGGGCTCTATCGTATCGGAGGGTACCCTAGGTACGGTTCGATATATCGGAATTAAAGTACCTCGGGGTACTATACGATATGTCGCTGCGTACCCTGCATTGTCCCACCTAGACCGAATAATTCTGTCCCATATAACCTTTTTTATATTTTGGTGAGGGTTATATTGGGACAGAACGGGTTTCATTGAAATTTTGTGAGATCGCATGCAAAATGCATGCGCTGCGAATGCGGCCCGTACGCCGCTATTGGTGTGAAAAAACCCCTACCGTTCCCTAGCTTCTACATATGGCTTTACCTTGCTACTGATATGTGTATACATTCACTTCAATCGTTATTCACTTCTTAAAAGATTGTTTTTCAGAAACACCGCTTCGTTCCACTTTCCTAAATCATTCACCATTTACAAACAATCAGACCAATCATAGCGAGTCTATCAGCCCTCCTGCAGCGCCACAGATACAAGCGAGAACCAGGCTATTGTAAGACTCGCTCTGATTGGTCTGATTGTTTGTAAATGGCGAATGATTTAGGAAAGTGGAACGAAGCGGTGTTTCTGAAAAACAATCTTTTAAGAAGTGAATAACGATTGAAGTGAATGTATACACATATCAGTAGCAAGGTAAAGCCATGTAGAAGGGAACGGTAGTTTTTTTTCCACGCCAATAGCGGCGTACGGGCCGCATTCGCAGCGCATGCATTTTGCATGCGATCTCACGAAATTTCATTGAACCCCGTTCTGTCCCAATATAACCCTCACCAAAATATAAAAATGGTTATATGGGACAGAATTATTCGGCCTATGTCCCACCGTACCCTGACTTTCAGCCAACTGATGTCGTAATAGTAATACATACACATTCTGTCAAGTTACCAATACCACATCACATAGAAGAAACCTCAAGAAACCTCCAATAAAAATGTATTGTATGCTATGTTTGACTATATTTTTCTTTTTACTTTTTTTAAAACAAAGAGCTAGCTTTTATATTTTAGTTTTACAACATCGGAAATACGTCCATATAAAGTCAGGGTACGCAGCGACATATTGTATAGTACCCCGAGGTACTTTCCGATATATCGAACCATACCCAGGGTACCCTACGATAGTACCCTGGGGGACATAGACCTTATCAGTGTCAGTACGTGGCACTAGCACTGGCAGTGTAGCCTGTATGCTCTCTGCATTGAAATAACTTGAATAAGCGGGCCATAAATAAATAAGCGCCTCCTCTTGCTAATCCGACTGAGATTTGTGAGCCGTGTTTTTTCTCTTATGTTCTAGTTCTGAACGTGACAACGTTTCGAAACGGCGGCCTCATATACTTGTTATATGAGACGCAGTCATGTACGGTAGCGGTGCAGGATTCGGTGCACAGCCCACATCTTACACCAATGGTCCAGCATACCCGTACGGGACTGGTAACCCACAACAGCAGCAGCAGCAGCAGCAGCAGCAATCCCAGCTCAGTTATGACACAGAGGAATGTCTGGGTATATTACAGCATTTGAAAAAGCAAGAACTGCAAGAACTACTTGATGACGATGACAAAGTGAATGACCTTATTAAAGATACGAAACAGGTTATTATCATGATTTTTGTGTCGTAGATTGCATTTTTGCGAGATTACTAACATGCAGGTGTAGTGTAGTCTTTAACTTTGGATGTGTAATATACAAATATCTAACTATATATTCCTTTTCACACAGGTGAAAAACATTGATGTCGAGAAAGAGATGATGTTAGCGAGTAATCGAAGCCTGGCCGAATTCAACTTGTCGAGGGAAACCCGTTTCCAGCAGGCAAAAGATCACCTTGCCAAGTCGCATCTCTCGGCACTGGAACTGCGCGAAGCTTTAAACGCTGACACAGCTAAACTAGGTATAATCAGCTCCACGAAGTGGTTACGCAGTGCGAGGCTTGTACGGATATGTTACACGTATATATATATATATATATATATATATATATATATATGTTCCTCTCACAGCCACACCTGGCTTCAAGTAATGAAGACTTATTCTCAGTTGCTTCATATTGGCTGTAGCTAGGAGATGATAATGAGCATTGAAGGTGTTTAGGGTATACTAACGTGGTAATTGAGTGGAGTGAGCCATCTCTTGGAAGCTGGTCACTGATGGTTTTCGAACTGAGATGCCTCGTTCCCTATATTATTTGCCTGTGGAAAGTATTTTTTCATACAACTCGTGACCTTATTTCTGTCCACGTCTTATCTGATGTTACAGATAGTATTGTGTCACAGAACTCACTCGACACGATGTTGGCTGTGCTACAGACGGCAGCAGCTGAAGAAGAAGAGGACACGGAGGTACGTCACTTAGTAAATGTCTAAACCATGCGACTGCTGCTTTTTGGCTTCGTCTAAACAACAGAGGTGCGACGACACCTTTCAATGTAACGATGCGATATCGTTCGGGAAGGTCACATGAGACTACGCGTATACACTTAGAATATGTTTCAGCAAATGACGGAGGATCTGCTAAGTGGGAAGCTGAGCATGGACAAGTTCATGGCAACCTATCTGACGCGCCGATCTCTGGCGCACATGCGACGTGTGAAGTCCGAGAAGATGCAGCAGATACTGACGAAGTGATGAGGGAGCCCGACCGACCGCATTTAACCTCAACGTCGGCGTCTTTGCGTTACCGGAAAAATGGTGTACCGAGTCGTGCAGCGTCTCTGTTGCGACCTTGTGAATACCCTGAAAGGAGCTGCGGAAAGGACCCGTGTAGGGTTATACTGCTTTGTTGTTGTCGTTCCCATTGTCACGTGATTGATTAGAAAATGTTTTAGAGTCCCGCACAAGAGGTGTGCAGTTGTAATTTTAAATGTAAATATGTTATGACAATGCAAAGCTGAAGTGCAAGTATTGTCTACAAGTAAGCTGTATTTAGCATAGGTAACCATGTTGCGTACAGGCTACAACATACACCAGCAAAATGGACGAAAACAAAACTGCCTGCCTATCACGTGTCAATATAGCCGTGTCACGTGTCAATTATCCACGTAAAATATTTCCTACATTTGCACATGCAATTTTCATTTAATTGCTTGTATAATGTAATTTACAAGAGTAAATAACCTTTCAAGGTTTCGTTTTGTCTATTCCTTAAGTGAGGCAATCAATTAATTATACAGTACGCATACAAAAAATTCTATAACCATTCATTTGTGTTACCGGGAAGCAGTTGTGGTTTATTAATTGTATTGTCACTTGTACAATTACATCTTAATCGAAAAATAAATGTACACTTGTACTAGTTTGAATAATTTAACAACTCCTCTTACTGACAACCAATCATTCACGCACTCAAGTCGCTCAGCAGTACGGTGCCCTGCCCAAATAAAACCCAAAAGCTTCCACCAAAAATGTATCTGTAATCTCAACCGCACCATCGAGACTGCTTCTCAGATTTTTTCACGGCCAGTTGCTACCGGACGTTCAGTCTCCCACGAAAACGACAAGACCCAACATTAATGTTTCACAGAGGGTTCAATCTTCTCGGGGTAAATAAGCTACTCGTATATACATGATAAGGCTCTCGTTGCGAAACGACGCGTCTTTGTTAGTGACATCTGCTGAAGGTCGGCTCGGCTTTACGGCCACCACCAGAATAGGATCCTCATAAGCCCACCATGAACCAACAACCCCAGCAGGCTAAACTGGGGAGAGCACCACACAACTTGCATTCACACACATACACACTCATTCCACAAACATGCATTCATACAAAACGTCCCGGGGCAGGCTTCAAAATCGAGCCCCCGTGGGACCGAATGCAACTATCATTTAATAGACAATCTCCCAGCGTCAGTCTGCTAGATAAAGCACCAGTGACGGCCTCGAACGAACATTCAAATAGATAACATTACGTGTGCGTCAACGTGCATGTTTGCTGTCACCTACATAGACTATGTGAAATGTGGATGTTTAAATACTGCAGATGAAAGTGCAAACAACTGTATAGTACATAACCATTATTAATATTCAGTATTACGACTCAAAGGTTTTGCGGACCTTTTTATGCTATTTATTTTTCTACTGTTTTCATATCTTTTTCGCACCAATTTCTTATTACATACGCGAACATGGACTTACAAAATGGCGGACCGACCCACCTGCAGCTGAACACGAGATGAGGGAAGTCTGGTATTTATAGATACAAACACGATGCCGACACTGGAAATTCTCAGCTCGCGATGAGCCATCAACTTTTACCGCAGCGACTTGGATATGCTACGGTTCATTACAAAAGGCTGGTCAAACGTCAACCAATTAGAGGGCGAACATCTATTACACCTCGGCATGAATTTACCAATCCGAGAAGCGAAATTTCCTCTGGAAACAACAAACGCATGCGTAATTAGTGATTCCATTTCAATACGACGGCACGTTTGTTCAGTCCTTTGCGATATAAAAAAATAGCAATGCTGCGTAGGCAAGATCTTTAGTAAAACCCTCTGCGACTTCATCCAGTTGCTACACACGGAATGCAAGGACATTAATTAGGGGGCAATTGTTGGGTTCTTAACAATTTTCTATACAGACAAGCACACAAGCTGCTTATTCATACCAATTGCCGATCATTTTTGATCCATTCAAATTCAATATATACATTTGCTCTACAGGTTGCCTTAATATGCAAAGCTATAACTTAAAAATACATTTCCTAGACAACAGCACAATCCGTTCCTAGACCAAGATAGTTATGAAATGATGCAGAGCCGATCAGTACATTTAAATATCTGAAAGTTTTGTTTAGCTACGCATCTTGCTGGTGGAAATTTGTCACTAAAACTAACAACAATGAAATTACACAAAAGTACGCTACTTCCGTGAATAGAAGTTGTCGGGTATTCAAAAAGCCCATAATTTTACACTATAAACATCGTCATCGAGAAAGGAAATGAAAAAAAAGCGAGCCCCCCCCCCTTACTAAGGCATGATCAAATCTTTACAAGTCGTCGTCATCATCTGGCAAGGTCGACTGCTGGGCTAGCTTCAGCTCTTCCTCGTATTGTTTCACTTGCTCAGGATCCATCTGAACCTCCGGCGGCGCCAACGCTGGCATGGCGACAAACTCGAGGTTGGGGTCGCCGATGAGCTTCCGTGCAAGCCACAAGAACGGCTTCTCAAAGTTGTAGTTGCTCTTTGCGCTGATGTCGTAATACTGGAAATGGCAAACGTGCGTGTTAACACTCGGTGACATGCCAACGAATGTAAATACTCGATGTACGCTGTATATTTCGTGGTGGTTTAATTTTTGCGAATTTCGACCGACTGCGAAAATAACACGCGAACAATTCATAATTCACCAACCGCAAAATTGTCCGTCAAGTCTGAATTCGCGAAAAATATGGCGTATACATTAATAGTTAACCGATGTCGTCTCTTAACATGGAAAATCGGAGACGTTATTGACTGAAGCACATACTAAGTCAGATATTACTAACTACTCTCACAACAGGGTATCCACAATGTCACCCTTTACTCAGAAACTACTGCAGCTCATGCAAACTATTGTCACAACCGTCACAAACCCCTATTAAATGATGAAAATAGTCAAAATACCACTTTGACTTTAATAGTCAAACTGCAATAAATTTATCCTAGGTTTTTTAAATTCGCCAAAATTACACGAAATTACATTGTTTGCTCAGTATCCGGTAAATTGTCAGCATATATAATATCTGTTGGCGCTCGGTATCATCATTGCAAACATTCTAATTAAAAAAATTATTATAATACAACTTATATATATATAAATAGACAACTAACTCACCTGTAGGTTCTTCTTTCGGTGAAATACGATTGACTTGGCCTTCACTTTTCTGTCCTTGATGTCAACTTTATTGCCAGTCAAGACTATAGGGATGTTTTCACAAACCCGCACTAAATCTCTGTGCCAGTTGGGAACGTTCTTGTACGTGACGCGCGATGTTACGTCAAACATGATGATGGCGCACTGACCTACAGATAAAAATCACGGTTTGACATATTCACACGACAGTGGCACTGTTACAAAAATACCCTGGCATACTCTATAGTTTATTGCTCAGTATCCGGTAAAGCGTCACCAACAAATTGGTCTGTTTTAGTAATGGATATCATCACAGCAATTCTGAGCACAAATATAATAGCAAATAATAATATAAATCATCACTAAATTTCTACTAGGCACACATTTATTCTTTGCTATAATATACAGAGTTGTTACAACTGTTTGCAAAAGTATCCATTTTTTTGTTTCCTGTTAACAGTTGTTAAGTCAATAGACAGCTGCTCTTTACAAGCAAATCAAAAGCCCATCACAAACTTCATTCAATTACATTGGGCAAACAGAAGAATCACCGCTTATTATGAGTCCATAGGTTTTAAAAACTAGCCACATACTTACAACTCAAACCAATTAAAATTCTATTAACAGTGTTTTCGAACGACCGAACTTTTTACGCATAGCACGGAACTAGTTGTGCTTATTAGCATTCAAAGAAGTTGAGACTTCACGTCAATAATTCATTGCATAAAACGTACCTTGGATGTAGTAACCGTCACGAAGACCACCAAACTTTTCCTGACCAGCAGTGTCCCACACATTGAATCTAATTGGGCCTCTATTAGTGTGAAATACAAGTGGATGGACTTCTACTCCTAGTGTCGCTGTTAATAAACACACAAACATATATATATAGGAAGGAATGAAAAGAATACAAACTTTCATTTGTTTAGTATTACAGACAGTTATTTGACATCCAACTGAAATAAGACCTATTAGTACAGACATTGCATCATATCGGTTGCAATACAGTGATATGTAACGGTTATACTTTTTGCAAGTCATACACCCTTGATTTCAACATACCTACATACTTCTTCTCAAATTCACCCGTTAAGTGGCGTTTTACGAATGTGGTTTTTCCTGTGCCTCCATCGCCAACTAGTACACACTGAAATTATGAATATGATATCAAAGAATTATGTATGCTACACAGATAAAGAAAAGCAGGTTGCAATGCTTGAAACTTCGATCAGTTATGTCGAGCCCAAGCTAACCACTGCACAATACATGTCTTCCATTTGCTGCAACTCGTTAGCAGGAACATAGCCTCAATCCTGCTCTTCATCAAGATCACCAGCATCCACTGATATCTGATTTGATATTTTGGCCCTGGTGCCTGCCATCGGTTGTCATCGTGATTCCATTATAAGGTTAGGTCTTGCAATCTTGTGACAATTGCACGCACGCAAATTTTATACTTAAATCAGATGGGATCAGTTGAACAAAAAGTAGCTGCAGCTTGTAAGTAATAACAGCACTCACCAGCAGGGCTGATCAGTCAAGGAATGATTCGGAAATAACAAGGAATGTAACCAACAGCACTGCCTGCCGTGCATTTTCCAATTAATGAAAATCTAATTAGTGGAGATGAAAAATTGCTCAAGGCTTAATGTGTCCAGCAGTTTTCAGAGTGGTTTAAGATTTAAGAGGAAGTGGTTAACTTATACCTGGCTATGAGCTGGTGTCTACTTACACCGACCAGGCTCTCCGACTGTTACACGTCGTAGGAGCCTGACACCCTTCCATACGAAATGCCTGGTTGCTTGAAAACAAACTCAGAATTTCGTACAATTTCGTAAATAAAACAATCGTATTAGCACATTTGACCTCACCTGTTACATGTTGCAACTATCGCTACACTTCTTAATCAGTATTTACCTCAAAATACACATTAAAATAAGAGAATTTCGAACAGCTATACTATTTGAACGTTGTAAAACGCCATACTGGATGTTCTTATGTCTAAGCGCGCCACGAACTTTCGCTACGTATTATGGGATATCTATTGGATAATGGCGGCGTTGTTTTGAGTTTTATCTTATCAATTTATAAATAATTATTCGCTGACACGTAAATACATGCTCAGTGATAGCGCACATATAATAAATCGAGGCGTGGAAGTACAGAGAAGCGGTAAGAATCATAAAAAGTTAGATAATTTTACGTTTAATAGCAGCGCACGTCATGCCAAACAATATTCTATTGCGTCAGCTTGTGACCCTCTCGCCAACGTAGTGTTAAGCGAGAAGGGAACTTGTGGCTAGTGTCTACTCACCTTAAACGTGGGGATGTCATCTGCTCCGGTCGACATCTCGCGAGTAATACAATTCCGGTGAGCCTGCACAAATGCACAAAATCTCGGTTACTAGTGCATTCACACTATACGCTCTACTTTATAACTTTAGCACTTTTGTCCAGTAGGGTAACTTCACAGCGATGCAAAAATTTCAGTTTTCTGCCTTCATGCTACTAGATGTGATTGTAGTGGATCCATACTACGATGTTGGCCACGAGAAACTATGAGCATAGGTGTGAAGTTAATGCGTACCGGTACGAATCAAATTTACCATATTTTTTACCAACAATTTTACTCTGCAATTAAACCATTTCCAGAGGAAATGTAGCATAGGAGAAACGAGGTGGAATAGTTTCTTAGGTAGGTAGTGGGCAGGATTTAACACACTATCCAAAACGAGCCCCACTGTACTGATATTTCGAAAAATCACAATTTGAATTTCAACAGTGCACTACAATGAAAAATATCGTTAGCGACTCCTTTTATTTTAAACTACATGTCTTCTAGGTAAGGGTCATAATTTGCCTTTATAAATAAACTTACAGGAATAGTTATTGCACGAGAAAACGAATATCGACTTAACAAAGAAGAACTCGGGCATGTCTATCCCAACCTGTATCAACTGGATAAAACCGCCTAACCGGTTGCGCCGTATTTAGTCACAAACAAGAAAATACAATAATACGAAAGTGTGAAAATGTCGTACAACCAATATTGAAACAAACGACTAGACAATCCTTTATCATACACCCAGTTAAGTTATACACATCGTTATGAAGCAATTCTTATAGATTACGCAGATTTTCTAAGCGACTACTTACAGTTCAAATTCACGCAGTAGAGCAAACTAAAGATGGCGGGAAAAAATATTTTACCGAACACTTTACTCGAGTGAAACACAACCACACATTAATATATTTGAACTATAATTTGTCACAGAAATAATAATAAAACAATCAATATATGTTTTAAAATTCTTTTCTATTATTTAACTACTTTGGTTAGTCAATGTCGCAAAATTGGCCGGGCGTATTACGTCACCGTCGGTTATCGTACTGCACCTGCGCATTGCAGCAGGTCCTGAGCGTTGAGGAAAGCTCCAAAATTTTTATTGATTTTTCAGTTTTCATGTGATTTTAGTGCATATTCACCAAGTTTCATGACATAGTTTGGGAGTGTGGTTTATAAATATCCGTTCCACTAGGATAGATTCCTTTCTAGCTCATCAAGATGACTAAAGATCGGTTAGCAGCATTGAAAGCGGTAGGTGTTTCCCCCTTGGCCTTCGAAGTTCGAGCGATCGGGTGATCTCCCTTGCCGTACATATAATCACTAGGTTTATGAATGACTAAGCTTCATTGGCTAGTTGTATCCTGTGCGAGTAGACCAGTGTATAAGTTATGTTGCGTTTTAGTGCCAAACCGATTCCGTATTAAATAATTATTTTAGCAGAAGTAGTTCCCTACTGAGCCAGAAGCATGCATTACGTATTATAAATATTATAAATATTATTAAAATAATAATGACAATGTGTAAGGCACACAGACTACAGACTAGTCTACAGCTTGCACAACACACACTTACACTACTGTAGACATGTATTGTACGACCTTATAAATGGTGCTGGTGCCATACTGAGATAGTGGTTATTATTAACCTACATTTCCAATAAGCAGTATTGCTATAGAGTGAATGTAATCATGAGGGTACCACAGGTTAAATTTCAACTAAAATTGAATGTCATAGCGTATAGTGCACCACAGTGAACTACAGCTGTATTTGTGTACTAAACTGTGAGAGCATTAATAAACGTGAAAATGTATGTGGTTATGTTAGTACCCTTATGGGCCCAAGCCTAGTTTAGCACCCCGGATTAGAGTAGTACATGTTCGAAAACACATCGGCGTGATCCCAAACTATCCTTGATCCATCTTATGTCCCGTATTTCAGGCATTGTGGTTTAACCTACTTAGTGGCACAGATTAATTTGGGTATGGAAGACATGGTGTTGTGATACTTGTGATAAGTGTCCATCTTCTAATCTATCATCGTTTTAATTCATAACAGTCCAAAGGACTATAATGTAGATGGAGTTTGACATCGATCAGATATGTTAGGTGAGGCGGCAGATGTTATATGACTTCACCTCATCTATCTCCAAATACGATAGCACCAGTTGTGCTTCATTACCAATTAGAATTTAAATGCATTTTGCTGTCTAGGGAATGCCAACGACAGGCTAGTGAGACGAAAATCTTATCATAAATAAGGTTAATACCACATATATATATAGCAGTTAGTGAGATTTATCATATTGCCAAAATTTATAAGAGATGCAAAATCAAATCTTGTTACAAATATAGGTACCAATGTGGCAACCTATAATCAAACCTAACCTTTACACTAAAGTAATACTGTATGGCACCTCATAAATTATAACGCTGTGGACATTGTTCGTTGTTCCCCAATGTAAAATATTACTCGATATGGCCACACCCCCTTCGATGAAAGTCGTTTTCCTCCCTGGGTATCAGCGCTGTTGGCCATGTATCATTGTTTATTGCCGCAATCTGTGCAGTGTCACACTTCATACGACGATAGCAAGGTCACTGCGCACGTGTCTAGATAATATATGTTTATTTATGCGTGTGTTCGTTTTCCGCACCTGTTAGGCTCAAAGTGAAGATGACGACGTCGGTGATGAAGTCGCTGTCACAGTGGACAATTCAGGCTTCATGGAGGAGTTTTTCGCGCAGGTAAGGTTTTACGTCATCTACTATACGTCTGTGAATGTCATTAGCTGACCATGTGGCTAGGGCGTGGTGCCGTCCGTCAGAGGGTGTAAGGATGGTTGCTCGGAAAATGCACAAAATTTGTGGAAAATTTGTGGAAAATTTGTGTGCACACTGCGTCTGTGGTGTTAAGCGCGCGCGCATGCGATACGCTTCCCTCCGATCCATCTGTCGGTTGCCACCTTTACATATCTACATGTGGCTCAAAGTCGGCAAATACTCGATGGCTTCATCCAGATAGCGCATATTCGCGCGCACGATTGTAGATTGTCACAGGCAATATCTGGCTTAAATGTGCTGCGTGATATATGTATATATAGCCGCGTCTGTCGGTGACGCACGGCCTGTCACCCGTCATCGCGAATGAGAAGAAGAATTTTTAACGGATACAGCGCGCGCGCACGCTACTCGTAATTTCGTAGTCGGCAGCGATGCCCGGATGCGTGGCGAATTATACACGTTTATGTACGTAATGCGGATTTGTGAGGCTGGGTGTGCGGAGGGGGATGGGGAGCTGAGTCACTTAGGCACCCCCCCCCCCCGTGCCTTGCACGCTGCACCGATTGGTCCTGCGTGCAAAAGTGGCGGCGCTAATGATTTCAAGTGATGACCGACTGTAGACAAGGCAACGTAGCGCATTCTGTGGTTCTCTTCAGATTCCTACGTACCACGAAACACGTGTACGGGTGGGTGGGGGGGGGGGGGGTACATGAGTAGTCATGACATTGTGAGTCTAAACTGCCGTAACTTTTGATGTGAAATGTGCAAAAGTAATGAAGTAAAGACGCATGGCACCTCGTAATTATTTTCAATGTTTCTGCTAACAGCGCCTGACGTTTTAGACTCGTGGTAGTCATAATTATTGATGATCTTTCTGAGAACGGGCCCTGGTCCTCCGTTTTATGCAACCCTATCTCAGTATTGGTGCATACACAACCCTACGAAGAATACTGTTCACCGGATGGTACCGATGACATGTTTGTATAATGCATTTGTAAAGATTAATGAGGACAGCCCCCCCCCCCTCCGGATACGCGTGGCTTAGTTCATAGCAATCATCAGTTCTTCATGAGAAACCCTCAATGCAGTTGTTGTGTCCGTCGTCTGTTAAGCTATGATTTATCACTGCATTACGGGTTACCTAAGTAATGATAATATTGCTGGATATGTTTGAGCTAAAATCCTAATGAGTTGTTAATTGCAAAGTAGAAACAAAAGCGGCATTTATCGGCGTCGTCATCGCGGAATTTACGTGCGCTCATTCCACTTCTTTCTACTGTGTATTCTGCTCAAGTGAGTGTACGACACCCGTACCTGTTTAAACAATGCCCCTCCCCCCTGTCCTAATACAAATAGCTTCTTAACACGTGCATGCGAGTCTGTGTGATGCCATAAAACCACGTCGGCAGAGATCATTGATTTTGTGTCCTAGACTTCTATATTTGCTCGCACGCTTTTGATACTATCCCTCACATTCAGGGATCTGATTTCGATTGAATCGGTACGGCATGTAAACCCATCGGCATGTGCACTCGCTCGCCTGTATATAGCGCAAGAAACTCGATAGAGTGCCCTCCTCCCTCCTCCCTTTCCCCGACCGCTCTCTTAGGGTTACTCTCTTTCTTAAGGATACTCTCTCGGGGATACTCTCTCGAGGGTACCAGCTTGCTGTTACTATAATGCGAGAGTTTCATTCGGCATTGACTGCAGCAGTAACTTGTGAGTCCTTCGAGAGAGTCTTGCCAACCCGGGGGGTGAAGGGTACATTGTAGGGGGTATGCATGCCCCCTATGTATGTATCATGGTTCGCACAGTCCTTGAAAAGTCCTTGAATTTGAGGGGAGTCCGTGAAAAGTAGTTGAATTTAGTAAATGTTTATTTTGTGCTTGAAAAGTGCTTGAATTTCATGAAAATGTCCTTGAATTTTTAGAAAGAAT